CCCAAAACCCTATTCTAATTATGACGAGTTTAGGGTTTAGGGGTTCAGGCTTTAGGGTTTCACGACGCACTAAACCCGAAACCCTGGAATGTAAGATTTGGGAGGAGCCTCTGAACCCTAAGCCCTAGACTTAGTTTGGATTGTGTTTTTTTCGGAGACCTTGCCTTGTGCACCCGCAGGTCTAAACACAAACCTCCACCGTGAGGGCGCCCAAAGTCTCAAATCCTGCACACGACATCCCCGAAGCTCCATCATATAGAGGCCTAAAGAAGTTCCTTATTCCACTTATAGTAATTATAATGGTTCCTTGTTCTATTTATAGTAATGATAATGGTTCCTTATTCTAGTTGTAGTAATTATAACAGACCCCAAAACCCTATCATTCCAGGTTTTAAGGGTCCTATATTGACTTTCAACCTTCTGAAGCTGCCGCAGGAGAATCCGATGATATCCATGATTGAGGACAGTCTGTTCCTTAGGGAATTATAGGGTTCTATCTTACTTGGAGGTTCATGGGTAGTTAAAAGTATGGTTATAAGTCCCCTAATATGGGTTATAATTACAGTTACCCTACTTATAACCCCATTTATAACTATCCATGAACCTCCAAGTATAGGGTTCTATCTTAGGGTTCCTCTAAAGGGATACCTTGAAGGGCTCCTTTCCAGAAAGCAGGGTGGCGATCAGGGTTCTATGAAAGGGTCGAAGGTTTGGGGAAGCCTCTCACGGCTTATAAGGTTTGTACAAGGTTGTCTTAAGTTTCATAAGGTTCCCCAGAGAGAGTCCGCGCTACCCCGAGTTCTGGAACATCCTTGAAATCAGAGCGCGACCCTCTGTCAGTACAATGTACAGGTCCTAACAAATAGTGCTAGTATGCCGTTATAGTCCGTTCCACTATAATATTTTCCAACTCCTTAGTGCGTGTGTATTAGAGTCCTTATATTCCTAGTAGCAGAGTAGGTAACCTTTAACCTTTTTGGGTGCCCTAATTTTCTATATAATCCCAATATATATATATATACATATATATATATATATATATATATATTAATCCCAATATATATATATATATATATATATACATATACATATATATATATACACTCGCAAAGGTTAACCTTTAGTTTTCCAGGATACTGGACAAGTAGGTATTCATTCTTAAGCGCTTGGGCTTTCTGGGTGCGGAGGTTGGGGGACCTCTAATAAAGAAGCCTAAATAATTACCAATAGTAGTCCTTACTTGGAGGTTCACGGGTAGTTAGAAGTGAGGTTATAAGTAAGGTAACTAGATTTCTAAGCCATATTAGGGACTTATAACCCTACTTATAACTACCCATGAACCTCCAAGTAGGATTGCGGGGTTCGGGTTCATTTGGTTCGGGTTTAGGAAGGGTTTAGGGCTCAGGGTTCATTTGGTTCGGGTTTCGGAAGGGTTTAGGATTCGTTTGGTTCGGGTTTTGGGTAGCGCGGTTTAGTTATTTACAGTTGCGGATCTTCAGGTTCTAGGGCTTTCATAGGCTTTTGGGGTTTGGGGATAAGGATCTTCAGGATTCCGGGCACATTTCAGGAAGAGGGCCGGCAGGAATCGGAGTTTGTGGGTCATGTACGGGTCTAAACAATTGCCTATACTATTTTGGGGGCTCCTTATTATAAATATAGTATAATATACTCCAAAAACCTATTCTAGTTATTAAGGCCCCTACATTAGATGGTGTCCGGAAGGTGTTTCCTCTGTGGAGACATTGAGAACGACATACTATAGAAGCCTACATGATTACCAATATTATTCCACAGGGTCCCTTGCTACGAGTATACCATAAAGGAGCCCGGAACCCTATTCTAATTATCGCGGCCCCTACATCACGTGCAACATGCGCACCCTTGGATCCAGGTCGGAGGGTTTCAATGGTATGTGTGGCTTCCAGCCACACACGGTCTCCACCACTTACGGACGCTCGGGTTCGCTGTTGCTCATCTATCACGGGTAGTGGCATATCTGCAGCCTTCCCAATGACGCCCGCAGATCCAAATCCCGAAACTCTCAATCCGCAATTTCTGTGAACGCGCGTCGCCGGCCGTAGTTAGCCTCTGAATATTCCCGCCTAAAGCCAAAGCCCTCAACCCTAAACACTATATATCCTGAAGCCTCAATCCTGAATCCCAGCCCCTCAGCACTAAAGCATCCTAAGCCCCCACCGCCTATAACCTCCAGCCTCAACCCTGAACCGTAAAGCCTCAACCCCGACATCCCTAAACCTGAACCGATCGCTTCGTTGAAGGACGTCGAGCGAGATGCAACGGCACTCTATACCGCGCCTCGTGTTGGTATCAGGAGACCCCAAGTTCTCAAGCCACAAACCCCTAAACGTTAAACCCTAAGCCTCATGAACCTTGGATAAACTCTAAGCTCCCCAAAGTTTCTAGAGCACTGAAGACTGTTCCTTCTGATCCCGTCTAGGACAGTCTTGTGGGAACAGGTGGATGTTGTGGACCTTCCTGAGTACGGAAAGGCTTTTGGATCAGCCAGGCAGGGTCTTTCAGTTTCTTTGTTCAGGGTGCAGTTTTTTTGACAGAATAATGTATATTATATATATAAATATAAATATAAATAAATGCTAACCCCCCCCCCCCAAGAACTACC